TTCTTTAAATAGGTATTCTCTCTCCTTGAGGTCTCTTCTTTAAATATTTATTCCCATCTGGGCGCAGAAGAGGCCGAGCCATGTCAACGCTTTTTCATGAAAGCGCGGGCGCCCGGTTGAAGGGCCCGAGAAAGGGATTCCCGCCTCGCGGGGGGAGGGGGGGAAAAAAGACGCTCACGAAGCTCCGCCTTTGGGGAGGAGGGGCCAGCAAAAGAGGGCGGGGTTCCCACCTGCTCCTACAGTAAAGAAGCGGAGCGTGGCTCGCGATGGCACCGACGGGCTTCTCCCCGGAGGAGCTGGCGCGGAGGCTTGCCCAAGCGGAAGCGCTGCTGGCGGCGCACGTGTCGGAGCCGATCCGGGCCAGTTGGGGCTGGGCGGGGAACCCGGGAGAGCCGCCGGATCTGGAGCGGGGCTTTCGCGCGGAGCTCAAGCAAGCCCGGCGAAGCCGGGAGGCTCTGCTAGCCGGGGACGCGGTCCTCTCCAAAGCCGAGCAGGAGCGGCTTCAGGGCTTGCTGAGGCTGGAGGTGGCTCTCCTGCGCGGCATCCAAGCGCTGGGCAAAGGCGCGGATCCGGCGGCGGGGCTGCGAGAGGCGCTGCTGAACGTGGCGGCGGGACTGGAGGAAGAGGAGGGATCCGCTTTGCCTGGGGACGCCGCGGTCGCCCTGCAGATCGCCCTGGAGGCGCTGCTGGAGAAGCGGCCGCGGGAAGCGCTCTGGGCGCTGGAGTGGATGCTGCGGGAGGAAAGGCGAGGCCGGCCGGGGCGGCGGGTGCGAGGCCTGATCCAAGCCCTGCGGGAAGGAGGCTGGGCCGAGCGAGGAGACGAGCTGCCCCTGCGGGAGCTGCGCCCGGTGCTGGAGAAGGCGTTGCGCCTGGTGTGCAAGGAGCGGAGCTGGCCGGCTGCTGCGCATCTGGAGGAAGCTCCTGAGGGGACCTTGCCAAAAATCCCCCAGGAGGAGGCACAGCTTCATCGGGAGTCTCTTGAATCAGGAAAGACTGCCCAGGTAGCCCTTTCCCCCCCTACCCCCACTTACGACCCAGGTTTCTGTTTGTTGAGTGAGTTTTGGTTAAGTGCACAATGTGTGTGGAGAGAGTTTTGTTCCATTGTACTACACCTTTCTGCCCCTCCCTTGAGAAGCGAAGCATTGCACAGGTAGTCCTCGGCTCATGAGACCAATATTCCTGTCATTAAATGAGTCATTCCTGAAGGGAGTTTGCCCCCCCCACTGTGTTAACGACACTTCTTGCCACGGTGGTTAAGTGAATCCCTGCGGTTGATAAGTCGGTAACACGCTTGTTAAGTGGAGAGTCATTCCAACCTGTTGACGTTGCTTGTCGGGGTTTGCAAAAGATGATCATACATGACTCAGTCAGGCTACAACGGTCGTATGTATGAACCAGTTGGTGAGCCATCTGAATTTTGATCACATGATCCTGGGGGAAGGCTGCAAAGGTTGTAACTCTGTAAAATGGTTGGCGGGCTTCAAAAACTTTAGCAACGGGTTCTCTTCCTGATTGCTGGGTGGGAGTAGCTATGGTGGACGTGGCCTAGTTGGTCTCCTGCACCATGGCAGGGGGACATTTTCGCCCTCCCCAGGCTCCAGAGGCTTTCCTCAAGCCTCCGGGCTCCAGAGGCTCTCCGAAGGCTAGAAATGAGCCCCATTTTCTGAACTTCCAGAACTTCTGGGAGGCCCGTTTTTCACTCTCCTCGAGCCTCTGCACAGGCCCTGCACTTACCTGGCATCCAAAACAGGCCATGTGGAGACTCCTGGGAGGGGTGGGGTAGGGTGGGAGGGGTTAGGTGGAAGGGTGGGATTTACAGGTTCCCCAAACTAGGCAGAACTTTAGCTAGAGCAGTGGTTGCCAACCGGTGGGCCTACTGGTGGTCTGTGAGAAAATTTTGGTGGTCCGCAGAGAAATGTCACCCCCAAAGCAATTAATCCAGGCTGCGGGGGAACATAAGGCTGTGCTGCCAACATGGCTCGCGGGAACACAAGGTAGTGAGGAAAGCGGGGGAAAGGGCGGAGGGGCGGGGAAACTTGCCTGGCCACAGGGTTGCTGCTTCCGTTTCTTTCTTCTGCTTTTGGCTGCACGCAAGCAAAGCAGCAAAAGTCTTTCTCTCTCCCGAACTCCGCCAGAAATGAGTTTTTGGGACCCTGCAAGACATCCTGTTCCAAGAGGCTGCATCGGCAAAGACTCATTTCTGGCAGAATTTGTGGGGGAGAGAAAGAAAGACTTCTGCTGCTTTCCTTGCATGAAGCCTCAGAACGGAGCTCAAAAGCAGGCTAGGAATGTGGCTGCCTTGGAGGGGGGGTGTGAGGGAGGGAGAGAGAGAGAAATAGAAAGAAAATCACCAGCCCTGGAGGTTAGATCGAATCTCTCTCCCCCCACTCCCTCTGAGAACGGAGTCAAAAGCAGGCTAGGAATGTGGCTGCTTTGGAGGAGGTGTGGGTGTGTGAGGGATCTCTCTCTCTCTCTCTTTCTCTCTCTCTCTCTCTGTGTGTGTGTGTGTGAGAGAGAGAGAGAAAACATCACTAGCCCTCTCCCTCCCTCTCCCTCCCACCAACATCAGCAAGCCACGTCAGTCAAAATTCACATTAGTGGTCCGCGGGATTTAAAATAATGAGTTTGGTGGCCCCTGAGGTCCAAAAGGTTGCTGACCCCTGAGCTGGAGGATTGCCCGAACCCGTGTGAACCTGTAGCAGCCCGCCCCTGGTGCCGTTGTAACTTTGAACCGTCACTAAACAAACTCTTGTCAGTCAACAACTACCTGTATCACCGACTTCTGTTTTTCCCTCATCCAAAGGAGCAGGCAGAGACGGACCTCCCCTTTATGAATGATGCTCCATGGAGGAACGTGAAGGGTTTTTGGGATGCCCTGCGGAAAACGACCGGGAGGAAGATAAGTGCTCCGCCATCCAGCTTGTGGGACCAGGGACCCCGGAAGATGTGCAGCCATCTCCACCAACTTTGCCGCCAGTGGTTGCAGCCGGAAAAACACACCAAGGGGCAGATGTTGGACCTGGTGATCCTGGAGCAGTTCCTGGCTCTCCTGCCCCCAGAGATGGAGAACTGGGTGCGGGAGTGTGGAGCAGAGACCAGCTCCCAGGCGGTGGCCTTGGCCGAAGGGTTTCTCCTGAGCCAGGCGGAGGAGCAGAAGGAGCAGGGAGAGCCACAGGTGAGAGACCCGAAAGGGATCTCAAGGAATAACCATTTGTTTCAATTTTTACAGGGGTCCTTAACAGTTTTGTGAAGATACTTAGGAGATGTTGAGCTCTCAGTCAAACAGAATAGAGCTGGAAGGGACCTTGGAGGTCTTCTAGTCCAACCCCCTGCTGAAGCAGGAAATCCTATACCATTTCAGAAAAGTGACTGTCCATCTCTCCAGTGTTGAAGCACCCACAGTTTCTGGTGAAAAGCTGTTCCACTGGTTAACTGTCCTCACTGTTAGGAAGTTTCTCTCCTTAATTCCAGGTTGCTTCTCTCCTTGATTAGTTTCCATCCATTGTTTCTTGTCCTGCCTTCAGGTGCTTTGGTAAATAAGTTGACCCCCTTCTCTTTGTATTTGACCTCTCAAATACTGCTATCATGTCCCCTCTAGTCCTTCTTTTCTCTAGACAAACCCTTATTATATTGACAGTTTCCTAGTATGACTTGATTGGTTATTTGTACTCTATGACTATTATTAAGTGTTGTACCTTATGATTCTTCACGAATATATTTTTTCTTTTATGTATGCTGAGAGCATTTGCACCAAGACAAATTCCTTGTGTGTCTAACACTTGGCCAATAAAGAATCTATCTATCTATCTATCTATCTATCTATCTATCTATCTATCTATCTATCTATC